TCCGATCACTGTCAGTGGCAGGGGGCTTCTTCCTGCTTTCCCTTTCGCCTCCCTGCATTGTGCCTACATACGCAAATTAACCGCCATCTTGTTGGCAGTTAACTGCCAATCTTAGTTGGCAGTTAATTTGCATATAGCCCTGATTAGCCAATGAAAAGGGTAGCGTCGTACGCCAATTACCATTTTTCTCTTTTATTAGTGTAGATACCAACAAATAAATTGTATGTTATTCCATAGATCATCAACAAGAAGATAATTTCTATTCTGTTGCAAAGCAGATCTATAAACTCAGATTATTTTGCACAAATTTTATGTCCCAATGGACATAAAATAAAAATTTGGAAATAGAGGATAAGTGAAATTTGGATTGCAACAAATTTTTAATTTATTCTAAGAGGTATAGATAAATGGGAAGGTTTTCAGGTAGAGAATCTAAACAAATGACTCAGATGCATCCAAAATATCCATAGACATTTGAAATTTCCCTCTCTTCAGGACTCAAAAGTTCTCCTTTTGTTCCTGCCTCCCATTTTCCTGCTTTGGTGACTTTCATATTTCTGGAGTGGAAATCAGATGTAATGGCTCCCCGCAGAAAGGTTATTGAAAGAGCCCAAGAAATAACTGGACCATCTGAAATCTCTCCAGGCGGTCATCTTTGCTGTAGGTGACATTTCCAACACAGGAGGATGAGAGGGTGGTGTTTATTCTTCCGAGCAGAACAAAACCTCCAGGCAAAGGAATGAGAAGGGAACTTAATAGAAAAAGTTTGTACGGTACCTAATTCATCTTCTCCAAATCCCAATATGTGACCTGAAAAGTAGCCTCGACAGGAACCACCATTGCCGAGACAGAGTGGTTTTTCCTGCCATTGCTTGGTCCCGGGGCTTTGCTGTAGAGTTAAGAAATTCCTGCAACACAAACACACCATAAACCTACAGTGAACACACTCCTTTGCTTAAAAAACACAAGCAGTTGTCTAAAATAAAACTCAACAAATAATTGTTGTGCCATAGGCCTGGCTTCTAAAGGGAAAAATATTCTAGCCCATAATCTGTGTGAATGCTGTGCAATTCCCAGGTGGGGAGAAAGTACTGAAAGGTAGTATTTTGTTCCCCCAGGGCACTAAAAGTACCTGAGTCTGAGAAAAGCCCGCCCCTTCATCCAGAGAATGATACTTCCTCTCCAGGACTAGATTCCATGCTGAGCTATCAATCAGAGAGAGGGGCGGGGGGAGATAAAGGGGTCAGTATACTTTTCTAGTTCCTGTAGTGACCAAGCATATCTGCTCTGTCATGCGCCTGAATGCCAGCGACTTGGGAAACAAGATTCTGAATTTGGGTTTCATCACAGAATTTCTTATAATTATCCACAATGTGACCTTAACTTTAAACTAAAATGTAATTTTGGAGTATTCCTACCACTTGAGACTAATTAACTTGCCCAGAGTCCTGAAAATCTGGCAAAAGCAAAAATTCTCAGCCTTCCAAGATTATCTTTAAAATATTTATAAAGTCATATAAAACCGTAGTTTTCAAGTTACTCATTATCATGGCAAATTTATGGTAAGGATGAAGGGAAGAGCCTTCGTAATCTCAAAAGTCCTGAGGACTTCTCTGCACTACAGAAAATTATTATTATTATTTTTTTATAATTGATGAAGATCGAGGTATGGTTTATTTTAAACCTGTTGCTACAATCATTTTATTATATTATTCCAAGATTTAATGTTTGTGGTGTTGGACACAAAATTATTTTAGGAACTTGAGCAAGTCTGTTTAAAAAGCATCTCTTAGGTAGTTCTTCAAACCTCCATACAATAGGGGAACTAAACATAAATAATATCTGTGCGTGTGTCCCAGAGCTGACCCCCAAAGGGAGACACTCACTTGAATACTTTATGGCAGTCTGCCCCCTAATCAATGTATATGTCATTCAGTACATCAGATTGTGGGATCAGGACGCCTACCCATCACGGTCTCCAAACACGTAGCTTCCGTACAGCCTTTCCGACTGGCAGCCTCGGTAAACAAACCCGCCAACCAGAGGACCACTGCTAAATAGCTTGAATTCTAAAAGTGATGGCTCACTTTCTGGAAAGAAATGGACATAGCATTAGATCAGATGAAACATATTTTCATAAAGTAGAAGTGATGTCGGCCCAGCCACAATTATTCCAGTCATTTACTTTAACTCTGAAGTGTGTTCCATCGTGCACGAGGTGGAGCCTTGCTATAGATACTTAGTGAAAACAGCTGCTCCCGTTGCTTACCTGGCGTAAATGTAAAGGGCTTCCACGTACAGCTTAATGAAATGGGAACGCTCTGACGTGCTTGCTGTTACCAGAACTGCCCAGACTTGGAAAGTTTTTTAATGCAATTAGAATCTGGATATTTTGAAAATCATAGTTACTTACTTTAGAACCCAAATGCTTAAAAATAATACTTAATTTTTTAATATTGGATTTTTTTATAGAAATGCTTCAGCATATATTTAGTAAACTGAGCTAGACATTATATAAACTGTTTAAAAGTTCACACTTTAATGAAAATAAAAGTATAGTGTATAAAAGGTCTTTAAAACCACATTTGCACATTTCAAACATTGTCACTTAGTCAAGTATATCTTCATTTAAAATATTTTAATAGTTTTGGTGACAGGGTTGTGTGGTTAACAAAGCCAAACGCAGTCATTCCTTTTGAATCACGTGTATGGACGTGACCTCACTTTTTTCACACATGTCATTATACACTTATATACACATATGCTAATTGCAGTGAAAAAGATCTGAAGTCAGTTGCAAATCTATCTGAAAATTACTTATTACTCACTAAGTACATTATGTGTTTAACATAAATAAGTCACTATCAACAGGCAGTATTTTAGGCACAAACTTGCATGGAAAGACAGCAATTTTAAAGTCCCCCTCCTTCACCATGTGATTATGATGAATATGATATTATAAGAAGTAGAAAAGATAGATTTTAAATAACCAGTACTCTGAGATGTAGACTATTTGGAAAGTAGCTATGCTCACCACTATACCACCAAAGCCTTGGGGTAGACTATTTGAATGATTGAGGACATGAACTCTGGAGTCAGGCTGCTGAGCTCTGGGGTTCAAATCCAGGCCCTGCCACTTTATGTTGCGTGGTATTTAATGTTTCTGTCTCACTTTCCTCATCTGGATAATGTGGCCTAGTGCCTATCACATAGGGTTGTTTTGTGAATGAAATGAGTAAAGTTTATAAAGTGCTTACTGCAGGGCTGGCTTGTAGTAAGCACCGTGGCTGTGGTTACTTGTTGTTGTTTTCAGTTTTATTGAGGTATAATTGACAAATAAAATTGTAAGATATTTATTTATTGTTGTTTTGTTAATCCTCACCTGAGGATATTTTTCCATTTATTTTCAGAGAGAGTGGGAGGTAGAGAGACAGAGAGATTGAAACATAGATGTGAGAGAGACACATCGATTGGTTGCCTTTGCACATGCCCCGACCAAGGCCGGGCATCGAGCTTGCATCCGAGTTACATGTCCTTGACTGGAATCGAACCCGGGGCCCTTTAGTTTGCAGGCCGACGCTTTTCCCACTGAACCAAACTGGCTAGATCATAAATTGTAAGATATTTAAAGTGTACATCATGGTGATTTGATATATGTATACATTGGGAAAAGATTCAGTGTGTTTTAATACATAAACATAGGGCTGCCAATATTGTAACCATTTTCAGCTGAACCCCAATTAATGTGCTTGTAGAATTTAGCTTAATCTACAAATATAGCTGGAATTCCAGCAAGCTAGTGACTCATTAGATTTTTTTTTTTCCAAACCACATTATTCTTTGGTTTGGCTTTTGTAAGATGCATACACACACACACACACACACACACACACACACACGAATACCTGGAAAAAAAAATAAAGTAAAATAACCGAATACCACATGAACTAACACAGCTGCTTCATTCCTGGTACTGAATATAAATATCTGTATTTAATGAGTAAAATAGGAGAAGCAATCAATTTAATAATCTTAATCTACTGTGTTCCCTAAATCATAATATTTGATATGTTGCTTCCTCCAAAAGGAATAAATACTAAAACGTTGAAAGATGTTAAGTATCTTTGACTTCAAATTATCCAATTTTATATGTATCTCTAAATAACTCTAGTAGTCACGTTATTAAAAATAATGTCTAAACATCACATTTCCATGACATGTCTTTGCAAGGCTATTACCTTGTTTTCCCTAATATAAACACATTTAAAAAATTACATTCTTATTTGAAACACTTATAATTTTCCTAATTGCTAAGACTAGCATGCTGGTTATTGAAAAATTCCTTACACTTAACACTTGTTTTTTGCTCTGCATATAAGATGTTAAGACAAGTTCCCCCTTATATATTACATAAATAGAAGTTATTCATCTTGATCCTCAGATGAGCAAAATATAAACGGCTAACTTTTGAAGGTCCATTACATTTTTTGGACTGACCGAGCACCATTTAATCTGTGGGAAAGGTAATTACCCCAATGGAACCCTGGGGACTTATAAGAGTTCCTGGACCTTTAAAAAGTGAGCAATTTACTCCTTCGCCACTGTTAGGCCAGTGTTTCTATGCTTTCCCAGGGCTCTTTCTGCAGAAATCCTTTTCTCTTCAATTTATATTCTAAAATAAGATAAAACCAAACTAAACCAACAAAATGATGCTCTACTCACCATAATCTTTCCCCTTTATTATCTGTAGGATTCTGGCTGATGACCTGTTCTTTCCATTGGAGTCTGAACAGAGTATTGTTAAATTGATGTTGATGTCTGTGGGATGTCGATCCACTGCACATCTGTGTAACAAAAGGGGACACCCATGAGTTCCTACCTGTGTCTCCACGCTCAGGCTGGAGAGTTCTGACACAGAGGCCTTTGTGGGCTGGCGGATCCTTTGGGCGATTTGGTTTGGATCTGCTAGACGAGGCCGAAGGAAACATCCTGATGTGTTTGTGGACTCTGCTGAAGCTTAATGATCTCTAGAGAAGAGTTTTTAATTTCTCTGGGTATCTCCCTGCCTTGTGAACGTGCACACTGACTTCAAACACTTGCTAGTCTGTTATGAAGGAATATCACATGTACAACAAACTGGTTAAGTATAAGAATCAGCAACAGCCCACATTGGCGACACACAATGTAAAATTAGTTGTAGTATTAGTTTTGTGTCTTCCATGGAACCCCTACATTCTAAAACTCAGGCTGCTCTAACAAAGGAAAGCGTACACTCCAATTTAGGGAACACAATAAAGCTGGTCCCATAACCATTAAGGTCTTTTAGTGGACTTTAGTCTTCATGTTCTGGGCCAGAATTTTTCTGTAACTTACGTCACTGACTATAAACTCCATGAGGACAGGAGCCACTTCCACCTTCATCTCTGTATTACCTAGTTCCAACCTGGGAATATAAAGAGAGCTCACTATTTTGTTCAATGGTTAAGTCATGAAGAGTTTGGGTTGTGGGAAGAATAAAGTTGAATACTATAATTTTGAAGTTCTCACAAATGTGGAAGATGGTGTTGCATTGTTTTTAGGTTTCCCAAAGTTTGTCACTATTGACACTTCGGTGGGTGGTGGTGGTGGGCAGAGTACTGTCCTGAGTATTGTAGGACCTTTAGCAGCATCTCTGGCCTCTACCTGTTAGATATCAGTAGCATGATCCCTTCTTCCCAAGTTGTGAAAACCCAAAATGTTTCTAGACATTGCCAACTCATCCTCTAAAAACCACTGTTTTCGGTAAAAATATATAGGTATACACATTAATGACTTAAAAACAAAACCCTTGGGGGAAATTAATAAATTAAGAAATAAAACAATCTGAGAGTAGGTTCTGGGTCTTGGGCAACAAAACAAAAACTGTTGCCTCCAAATGCTCCCATCCATATTAGGGAAACTATAAGCCTGACCTGCCAGAGGTGGGCTAGCTGTTCTGTGGCAACAGTCTCTTCATTGTCCTCTTTAATTCAAGGTTCACAGAATCCAGTGCCTGGCAGGGATCTGACATCCACATGCTGTGACTGAAGGTGGAACTGAATCCACGCAGGGTGAGAAAACTTTCCTATATTGCTTTTCTTTTCCAGATGAAACTATAACCTAACAATAAAAAGGTTTGTCCTGTTTCTGGTAAGAAAGAGCAAACCTGGAAGAAAAGGCCAGGCCTCCCAGCGGTTTCATTGCTGGGGGCCATGAGGCTTTTACTCTGGCTGAATACTAGGTCCACTGAGAACCACTTGAGCCTTCGAACCTTTAGCTTCTTATGTAAAAAAGAGGCTGAGAACGAAGCTTCTCTGTATGATACTGTAAAGGCAGAGACATGTTGTTATATACTTGTCCAAACCCATACAAGGTGCGACACCAAGTGAACCCTAATGTAAACTGCGGACTTGGAGTGATTCCGATGAGTCGATGCTAGCTCCTCCACGATCACAAATGGACTCTGGTGGGGTTAGCAATAGCGGGGGAGGCTCTGCATGTGTGGCAGCAAGGGTATATGGGAGATCTCTCTACTTTCCTATCAATTTTGTTGTGAATTGAAAACTGCTCAAAAAAAAAGTTTAAAGTCTTCTAAAAAGGGGGAGAGGGGTTTGATGACAGCTACCTCGGAGCACCCCTGAGAGGCATAAGGAGATAAGGAGCATAAGATACTTAGCTCAGTACTCTGCACCCAGGTGCTTCATAAAAGGCAGCTTAATGCGTAGCCAATAATAATTATTTAGCTTCCTTTCTGCTTTATTAAATGTTCCAACATAACCTTGGAGGGAGGCATGAGTGTGTCTCCAGCCCTCTGCCGCCGGGGGCGGGGGCTCCGCAGCACAGGCGTCCTGCCCTACGTCAGGTCTGTAAAGTGCCTCCCACTGTGTTTTTACACTGAGGGTCCAGGACCCCCGGGGAAGGTTGCACGAAAGCGCCGGCGGGACTGCGGTGACTCAGGCTGCTGGACTTCAAAGTGCTGCTTTGTGGTGGTATCTGCGAGCGCTGAGCTACAGGAATGGAATGTGACGGTTTCCTCCACATCCTGAACCCACCTTAAGTATTCCCTGTCGCCCAGATTTTAAGATCTGCTGAGATGCCAAAAAGGAAATGAACTGTAGACGTGGACTTTGATGGAGGGGAGATGAAGGGCATGAGGGATTATAAAACTAAAAAGTTCGAAAACTGCTCACCTTGCACACAGTGAACACTCAATAAACATTAAATAGCAATAATACCTTAGCCAATAAAGGAGTCGATGTGGCCCGATAGCCCTTAGCATGACCAGCAGATCACGGGTAGGATAGGGTAAAGTTTTCAGCGCAGAATGACTTTAGTAGACTTCATAGCTTTTTAAAAAGTATACCCCAAGCTTCTCCCTCTACATTCTTCTTAGGGTTCCTTTCTTTATGGTTCATTCTACTAAGTGGTCAGTATTTCATTTAGCATTCCTTTAGTATTTATAATTTTTTTCAAGGAAAAGAATGCTAATGGTTAGTCAATTCCTTACAAGTTGGTACTGTATCATCATATGTATTAAGTGAAGTGATGAAAATAAGAACTCTAATTTATTTAAAATCTACCATGTGTGTCAGACACTGTGTCATGCTTTACTCGTAGATACATGCTTTTAATCATTGCAGCATCCTTGCAAGGTACCACCCCCATCTAAAATGTAAGGAAAGCATTGTTTAGACCAGCAGTTCTCAACCTGTGGGTCATGACCCCTTTGGGGGTCGAATGACCCTTTCACAGGGGTTGCCTAAGACCATCCTGCATATCAGATATTTATAATACGATTCATGTCAGTAGCAAAATTACAGTTATGAAGTAGCAACGAAAATAATTTTATGGTTGGGGGTCACCACAACATGAAGAACTGTATTAAAGGGTCGAGGCATTAGGAAGGTTGAGAACCACTTGTTTAGACAAAAGGTTTATTATCTCTGATTACTCAGATGGAGTTTGAATCATGACACAGGTGCACCAGTGCTTCTATAGTAATAGCCCTCCAAAACTTGAAGGCGATTTTTCTCCATGCAATTGTCCTTTTTCATGTCTAATCTGCCTCCTAAATCTGCTTCGTGAGTTAAGAGAGGAGAATGCTAACTACTGGCTCGGACAGTGAGCCTGTGGGATTTCAGCGGCACAGCCTCGCGCACCACTCGTGCTGCTCTGGGCCTGGACCCGTCTGTCTGTCTTTTCTCAGTTCCCGAGGCCCAGCCTGGTTCACGCAGGCCCGCGGCCGGCCGGCGGGTGCTCTCACCTGCCTGGATCGTGGAGGCCGTGGGCAAACACTTCGGGGGGCTGGTTGGTGCTGTTGAAGTGTGGGTTGCTCCTGGGGATGGAATAAGGCACGTTGCACATGTCTGTGTCCACGTCCAGCCGGAGGACAGAACCCGTGAAGTCACTGAGAAATAGGAGGACGACATGAGTGCTTTCGTTTTTATTACTTATTTCACCAAAACCAAATGCAGGGAGGTTGCTCTACAGATCGTGCCCCTGTTTGAGACAAAATTATTCTCGTTCCCCATGCCATCTGGTGGGAATAAAGCGAGGGGCAGTCTACTTTCGGACAAGTGGCCACAGACTGCACTCTCGGAGGGGACTGCTGTTTGTGTCTGTCCTCTTATTTTTCTGCTGACCCGTGCATTTTGTGTTCCGCAAGAAGCTAGCTCCACGGAGTATGTCGGTCCACGCTGCAGAGTGGTGGCCGCAGCGTGGACGCGCAGAGATGAGGTCTGTTTGCGTCTTAGGGCTGCATTAGTTCTCTGCCTTCTCCCTCTGCTCCGTGTATTACTAAAAGAGAGTGCTAAATACTGGCTCGGGGAAGGATGTCAACACAGCCGTAAGTGGTGTTAGGACATCGAAGTGCAGCGACTTTAAAAAAAATATCACATCAGCGTGCTCCTGAATGCCTCCTCATGTCACCAAGGCAGGCACTGAGAACCACGTTAAATGTTTAACCAGGGGATTCAACCCAAAGACTGCCTTTCACTCCCTGGGCCCGACCCTTTCTCCTGCTGGCGTTTTCACATCAAGTGGGAACCTGGCCTTTCTTTCTTTCTTTCTTTCTTTCTTTCTTTCTTTCTTTCTTTCTTTCTTTCTTTCTTTCTTTCTTTCTTCTTCTTCTTCCCCCCTCCCTTCATCTCTCACATCCACTCCCCACAAACCCATCCATTTCTTCCATATCATCCAGCGTGATCATCCCATCGCCGAGAATGACGTACAACAAGCCGTGGGGGCCGAAGAGCAGCTGTCCCCCCAGGTGCTTCCTGTGCAGCTCTGCAACCTCGAGAAAGACCCGGGCGGTTCTCAGATCAACCTGATGGGGGTTTTTCCTACATCGGGGGCAGAAACAAGACCGTGACTGTTAGAGCTGGAAGGCGCAGCCCCTGGAAAGTCACGCGTACACACCTAGGGAAGCAAACACCTGGCCTGTAAATAAGGAAACACATACTTGAAATGGGGCTAATAAAAGCCACCAACAATTACGTTATTTTCCAACGTTCAGAAGTAGCGTTTAGATTGCAGGGTAATTGAGGAAAAGTGCCCAAGCTATCGTTTTTTTTTTTTTTTTTTCAGTTTTCCTTAAAGACATGCATGGGGGTTTAAGCAAGATGGAGATTGTGGGTTTAATTATTGCCACTGTGTGGCTATCCATTTGTAACTTCTAAACAAAAAAGGATGAAGAGGTAGAGATGGAAAAATAGGTATGCCTCCGTGCATTTCAGCGATACCTGGACACTGTGTATTCCACAACGCGAAGAATGTGGTCATGCGGCCCCATAGCCCAGCGTTCCTGGTTGGTGGTGTAAGACACATACAGCTTTCCGTTCTTCTTGTAATTGGGGTGGAATGCAAGGCTTAGCAGTCCTCTTTCATCTCCTCCCTGCAGTCAAATGAAAAACACAAAGAATCGCAAAGTTAATTATGTTCTTTATTGTGTTTCAACTGGAACCCCCGAAAGAGTCTCTTTCTTTCTTTCTTTTGGATAATCTTTGCCCAAACTCTTTTCTTTTCTTCCTTGCCTACTGCACAAAAAGGGATTATAAAACATTTCACTTTGCGGAACTCTTTAAGGGTTAGAACAAGCCAGTCGTCTCGCGTGGTTATCTATGCACAAGACCGTCGCATTACTTTTGTCAAGTGATTTGTGCCTGTGATCTTGGGAAGCTAGGAAGACAAGGTTAAGTGCTGGGAAGAATTCTCTGCTGGGTTACCATGCTGCTTGTCATCCACGGAAGACAAATAAAAAGGTTCATAATCAGCAGTCACTTCTAATCCAAGTCTCCAAAACCTAAAACACAGTGTGGGCTGCCAACTCCCACTGTCTTGGCAATATGTTTAGAAAACAGTTAAATTGCTTGTGTAATATGTAAACCTTTGTTTTACCCCGGAGGCATCTGCATCGGTTGTCACAACGCTGGTGGTCTGTTCATCATCGGTAGGTAATAAGCAGCCTTGGTCTCTCTACGTAGAACAAGGTATTTTCACCCGCATCCCCTCCATGCTCAGAGGTTTTCTTTATAGAAGGATGGGGAAACAGGAGGAGAGCGGAAAGCCAGGGCTGGGGCGGGGGCAAGAGAAATACTAGAGGGGAAAGGGGACACTAGGAAATAAAAATCCCAAACAACTTTCTTTTGTTATTATATGAATGTCAAGGACTGTGTACATTAGGCATGCCAAATGCTGTAACAATTAAAACATCATCATGTTCTTAAATAGAAAGGCATTTTATCTTTTCTGCTAATTCAGCCTGAAACTCAATATGGTCTTAACATTTGTTTTATCCCACAAGTAGCCTAGGAATTTCTATAATGAAATCAAAGTATCTAAAATTATCTAGATCAGAGACTCGAGTCCCTATTCTAGTACGGCAGCAAGCATCTCCTCCCGAGTCTGATGAGTCATCCACAGAGGTGAAGCAGTGACCACAGACACGGACAGCTGCTAGTACATCACCTTCCACACACCATGTCCTTAAAAACGCGTCCTCGGGCAGAAAGCTATACATTACTCCTTAGAAGTGTTCAAGGAGGGAAAAATCTCTACCACTGCAATTACTTCACAAAGTGATAATGGAGGCACTCTTGTGCTTTTTTTGTCCCTAGCATAGCATGTGTTCCTAGCAAAGCATAAGACTGTACATAGTTTGTGTTCTACATGGATTTGAGTATTTTAAGTTTTAGGCATAAAAGCTCAGTTTTAGTAAACATTGTTGATTGATTTCCTGGAATAGAGAAAAAAATGCTCTCAGATATGTGCCATCCGAAGTGGAAACACCCACACTTTAAGATGATATAAATAAGAAAGTCAATGCAAATATCCCAGAACTACCAAATTGTCGTTCAAATGTCAAAAAAGTCGCCCTCCTCATTTGCCTATCATAATATGCTTAATATTAATTTAAATTAAAAGATCAATCTCACTGAAGGGTAAGGGCTAATGACTATGATTTTATGCATGAGCCTCTATTGCAGGGATTATCTTGTAAAGATGATTTTAATACGGAGTTGATGTTTTTCTGTTTACATCTTCGTTACACAAATATCTCTGCCCTTTCTTATGAGACTTTGAAGCTGGGTTGTGTAACTAAGATTCGGTTATAGAAAGTCACTGCACATTTAAATCTCCTTGACAGATGCATAAGGAGGTCTGGGAGTGGGATTTAGTGTGTGGCTACTTCCTCTTCTGTATAGATTTCCCTCTGAAGCTATGAGTGCAGAGAAAGGGCTGCATGCCCACTTCACAACTGTTTGTGTTCCACTCTAAGAAGCTTTTGTTGAAAGTAGTTCTTTTGTAGTCTCTAATCAAATCATCTGAAATACAATTGGAGTTGGATAGCAACATGGTTTAAAACTGTGCTGGTTGCTTTTCAGGAATTAGGAATGTAGAATTCCTGTACTGTGGGAAGACTGGTGGGAAAAGAGATTTATACAGATCCCAAGTGTCACCTATCACAAGCAGGCAGCAAGTAATTTACAAACACATTAGGGTTGCCTCGCCGGAGTATCCAAAGCTATCATGAGACCCTGGTTCCCCTCTGCTTGGCCCCCGCAATCCTGCATCTACTTCTAGACGCCCCACACCAAGCACAAGTGACTCCTCAAAATCAGGTGGTTGAATGATTTGAAAATAATGTCCTTATGCACTGTGGAACTTTGAGATTAACGCATGTTTCAGAGTAAATCATAACCACCACCCCTGTCACCCTTCGGGACTGTTAATAAGTAGTTTACTGCCACTCCAATTACCATTCTGCTCTCAGGAGAAATTTCACAGGGTCAACAGAAGAAAGGCAAAACCTCCCCAAAGAGTATTGGTGACTTTGGTATAAATACAAGATCAGATCTAGTCTTATAGTTTGAGGATACTCTTTCCTGGTGGACAGATCAAAGTTCTAACCAATTGGCTGAGAATATTCCTGGTCTCTGAAGAAAACAAAGTATGTAGCATTTGAAAAAGAGAAGTATTCATAAAATGATTATACCAGAAAATATTTTTTCTTTTTAGGAGGAATTGTGGAGCATGGTCTTTCACTGTGACATTATATATTTTTAAAATATATTCGTAGTGATTTCAGAGAGGAAGGGAGAGGGAGAGAGAGATAGAAACATCAATGATGAGAGTCATTGATTGGCTGCCTCCTGCACACCCCACACTGGGGATGGAGCCCGCAATCCAGGCATCAAACCTGGGGCTCAAACTGTGACTTCCTGGTTCATAGGTCAATGCTCAACCACTGAGACACACTGGCAGGGCTGTGATACTATTTTGAAGAAAACATTCCCTTCATACTTTCAGTAGGGTTCAAGTTAATTCTTCCTGATTGCTGGCCTCTTTAAAAATTTGCCTTAATCTCTTTCAAGGAATGTATATTTTAGGAAACAGGACTGGGCAGCATGAACCGGAAGCAGCATTTTCCATTTTTGCGTAGTTTTTCTTCGTGACTTTTTGGCAAGTGACTGGCTTCAAGTTCAGTAGTCTACAAAACAGCCCTATGGCATTGAGAAATAAATGACACATCCATTAAAGTAAACAATGCAGTGCTAAGTTCAAGATATTCCTTGTTACTGCCTTGTCCAAAAAAAAAAAGTTTGTATTTGACGTTCGTTCAACAAATATTTATTGAATACCTTACGATGTGTTAGGCATTGTGCTGGGTGCTAGGGCTAAGACAATCAATAAAAACCAACCCTATGCGGCTCAGTTGGTTGAACATCATACAGTGCACTAAAAGGCAGTTCAATTCCCAGTCAGGGCACATCCCAGGTTGCAGGTTCTGTCCCCTGTTGGGATGCATATGAGAAGCAACTAATTGATGTTTCTGTCTCACATCGATGTTTCTCTCTCTCTCTTTCTCTCCCTCCCTCCCTCCCTCCTTTCTTCCCTCTCCCGTCTTCTCTCTAAAATCAATTTTTAAAAAACTCTGTTATTAAAAAAACACACCAACCCCTGCCCTTAAGGAGCTTATACATGGAAGCAGATAACAAAGTACCATTCTCAGTTGTTTTATTCCCACCACACTTTCTTATGATGCTGACTTTGGGGGCAGGTGAAGCAATGCTGCACTGTGAGAAATGTGCACGACCCAAAGACAAGTAGTAAAGAGAATAAATAAAGAATCTGGGTAACTTGGACACAAAGGCTGATTAGCATATTAACACCTGAGGTTTCTGCACTCGAAACTTGGTAAGAAAAAGAAAAAAGCTTGGCTGTATGAAAGCTCAATTACATGAAGAATTAGGCAGTTTCTGCAAAAAGTAAGACCATCTTCTAATTTATTTTATGTACATGACACAGGTGAGCAGGTAGGAAGACCTCCCGGAGAGTTGTCCTCTTAATAATGAAGGAGCTGCTGAGAACTGCTCTGAGAACAGAGTGGTGGTCATTTTAATTCTCTATGAAAATAGACTGTATTCCAAGGCAAGTCATCACATCCCCTTTCCTGCTGGTCATGCCCGTGCCTACGGTGTGCTGGCACACCTCAGGAAAGGGACACGAGGACTTGGAGACTAACACGGGCCCTCCTTCTGCACACCTTGGCTTCTCTTAGGCAGGAACTTTCTGCTTTCAAAAGTGTGAAATAGGCTTGGTAGTTCAAACACAATACGGGGTTGTATTCGTTTTTCTATTGCTGCTGTAAAAAAATCACCACAAACTTAGGTTGGAGTTCAACTTGGGTCTCATTCTGGCTACAATAAATGTGGGAGCAGGGCTGTGTTCCTTTCTGAAGGCTCGAAGGGGATAATTCCTTTCCTTTTCCAGTGTTTAGAAGCCATCGGCATTTCCTTTTTGTGTCCCCTGTACTCCCTCTTCAAAGCCAGCAACAGTGGACTGGGTCCTTGTCACATCACACATCTCATGCCTCTGACCTCCTCTTCTCTCTCTCCCACTTTTCAGAATCTGTGATGCCGTGGAGCTCACCCAGGTAATCCAGGACAATTTCCCTACGCAGTCTTTAACAATCTTAATTCCACTGCGACCTTGATTTCCCTTTGCCATGTAAAGTAACATGACATGTTCACAGGTTCAGGAGGTTAAGATGCAGACATCTTTTGGAGAAGGGTTTTATTTTGTCCACTACTTGGCTATCTTAATCTGTGTTTAAAAAAGGATCTATTTATGGCTTACTTGAGGCATCACGGCCATGCCCAAAAGTGAGCACCCTGATGAAGAGGTGGCTGATGAAGTTCACCTAAAAGTTTACAAGAAGATACTAAGGAAAGCTGTCACTGTGAGCATTCACTTCAGAATGAAGCAAAAGCGCCTTTCAGAATGAGGAGGAGGAGGAGGCAAAGGAGACCATCTGGTAACACGGACATGCGACACTTTCATATAAGAGCCCTGTCAAGAGCAAGGCTCCGGTGTTAGTCAAGAAGGTTAAGT